CTGCATCTGTACAGTACCTGAATATTGGATTTGTGATTTGTAATTAGCAGAAGCACTGACAGTCTAACCCTCTGAGAAAATTACTAACAAGAAAATCCAGTCATTTGTTCAGGATTGTGGATTTAAAACTATAAAAGGATGACAATACAAATTTTGTAAGGTTATAATTGCCCTTTTATTCACCAGGACACAGTGTGATGGGACATGCAAATAAAATGATACTCTAATACAATGATTCTCACAAACAAATTAGCAGCATGGCCTGATTGATAGCAGGAACAATGATCAGTGCTGCCCATGTTCTGCGTGTGGAAATTTTCATCTGAAATGTTTAATTTTTACAATATTTTCTTGGAATTTGGGATTCAAGAGCAGGTTGAGCTCTGTGATTGCAGGCACATGTGCTGTTAGACAGGGACATGCTTGTCATAGATGCAGAAAACAGCTTACTATGGGGCTGTGCTGCTAGTAGTGGCCTGTTAAAAGACAAATGGCTTGAAGGTGGGCAGGTCAGATAAACCTGCCTGCACTCTCTCACTGCTCCCTCCCCATGTGCTGTTGCATGGTTTACAAATCAGATGGATATAACAAAAGAATTTGTGATTCAAAAATTAAACAGTTAAAAATTCAAAAATTCAAAAATTACTAGCAGTTAAAGACAATGTCAAAACCCTTGTCCCGTCTGTAAGTGTCCCCGTGAATGCTTAAAGTCATGGCTATAAATACAGCAATATGGAAAGTGAACATTGAGAATGTTTCTGTGTTTCCCTCCATCAGGTGGCATAAATATACCTTGTGCAGTGTTGGGGATTGTTGCTGGGGGAGCAATCATGAAGAGGCTGCGCATGTCTGTGAAGACCTCAGCTTTGATGAGCACCTTTGCTGTGTTTTCTTGTGTCCTGCTGGCCATCCCCTTGCTCTTCCTTGGATGTCCAACTCAAAAAGTGGATGGTATTTATCCCAAAAGGTAAAGAGTTTTCAGCCTGTTGTAGTTTATTTTCCAGTCTGAATCCAGTGGCTCTAATCAGCACAATCTCACATTTTCTCTTTTAGAATACAGTGCATATAGTTAATGCTTTGCATATGAAAAGAAGTTTTCAAAATAATACATTAATAATACTGTAAATACTTATGCTTTATGTACTGTATTTGTATTAATACAAATTTCCATGTACAAGAATTTCAAAAGCATCTACATGTCTTTGATGGATCACTCAATTGTAACACACATTTGGGTGATATTCAGCAGCCATTTGACACATTACCCATTGAAATGATAAATTATGTTAAATGTAAGATGTAGGTACACTATAGTAACTAAGTGGAATTAAGCCAGGACACTGGCCTTAGTTCAATTAGGACTTTTAATATCTGTCTTACAGCACAGTGTCCCTATTCACTGAACTGGGACATTGTATCAGTAATTGAGTCCAGATTGCAGAATGCCATTTAGACTATTAACACTGCTTGCAACAGCAACTTGATAATATCTTAAAAATATACATTTATGTTATGATTCTAATCCCCAAAAGAATGTTAAAAGCAGAAACAAGATGGCAAAATAAATGTTTTATTAGCTTATCAGTGTAACAAGGGACTATATACATTATGCATATCCTACTGTATATACTGACATAAACAGAATTTCTACCTTTTTATTTTGTTTTTAATAACATTACTTCTGACTTCTTGTTAGTGTGATTCTTCTAGCTGCATCAACATTCTGAAGCTTTATGCTTTATCAAGACCCGCCACAGTGTTGTGTAATGTTTTCCTGTCTTTAAACACTTTTCACTGAAAAGTTCAAATCCCTGGCTGTAACAACTTAGTACTCTCTCATTGTTAATATTGAAAAATGCACATAATTCTTAGTCATTTTGTTAACATGTTTTCCTTGGATTGAATTGCTTTTTCTACACCATAAGACTTTTCTCAAGAAACTAAAATGGAAATGTTTTAAAAACACTTTTTATATTAAATTTATGAACTGAGCCCTATGAAAATGCGCTCTAAATAAAAGACATTAAGTTATTTGCAGGCAGAACCCAAGCTTACTATGTACTATATATGACATTTTAGAAATGTACACAGGTGTGGTAAGAACAATAAAAAATGCATTTCAATTTAATATAAATCTGAAAGGTTATAATGGCTTATATGGTTTATATATGGCTTATAATGGGTTTATTGAGGGCTGTAGGCCTGTTTTTTTATTCTCCAAAGTAATTTCAAATTAAATCAATCAGATAATGGGCCCAGACCAGTATAAAGTATCTAATGTTTTTCAACATCTTTTTATAGCCGATTGATACTGTATACAGTATATCAAAGTGGATTCCTAGACATATTTCTAAGCTGTCGTATAGTGACATTAATCATGTAAAGTAAGTGGACCTTGGGTAGTACAACTCTTTGTGAGCATAGCCAGACCTTGTAACACACTTTTAATAACTTCTGCTTTTCCAGTAATGAGCAGGGATCCATGTCAACATGCTTCAGTAATTGCTCCTGCCAAGAACATGCCTTTAATCCTGTGTGTGGTTCCAATGGTGTGGAATACCGGTCACCTTGTCATGCTGGCTGCAGGACTATAAATATGGACACAGAAGGACTGAAAGTATTAGTAAGTATCAGCATTGCTGTTTTGAATGATGGAACCATTCTCTTTTTTAGAGAAACTGTTTAGTTCCTGTGTGGTGCAAGCTGATTCTTCAGCGGCAGTTTTCATGTTTATAGATACACTATTTGATAATAATTGACACCTGAAGAAGGCTCCACGGCCGAAACGTTGTGTTCTCTTTCTTCTTTTTTTCAGCATGGAATAAACCCACTATTTAATAATACCACCTTTCTTTTCTTGTTTCTGTTAATCTATTACTTGTCATCTGGTTTGTCATCAATCATTTATGAGATTTTAACAGGGTAGGATCTACACAACTCCTAGCCACACCAAGCGCTCTCTTTCAGACAATACAGCCAATTGTAGCATTGCTCATAAAAAGATCCATATGGAACAGAATTCCTAACCAACACAGAAAATGAACCATCTTTCCATTTGATCCATTTTCTGACTGCTTATTCCAATACAGGGTTGCAGGGGAGCCAGAGGAAAGCTACAAACACAAGGCAGGATGCACCCTGGATAGGATGCTAGTCCATCGCAGAGCACACTCAGACAAAAACACAAGACACTCATACCAGGGTGAATTTTCTCAGAAGCCAAATCACACCCAGAGTAAACCCCCCTAAAATGGGGACAACATACATAGGCCATGCAGATAGCACCTCAGGAACTGAAGCGAGGGACTCAATGCTGCAAGACAGCAATACTAACCATTGTGCTATCATGCTGCCCATGAAAAAGAACCTCTTTAACTTTTGTTTCCCTGCAAAATGGCTAACTCCTCATAAACAATCTGCACTGTGTCTTCTTTTATAATGACACAGGAAATCACATAATCAAGAATTAAGTACAATAACAGAACTTCTCAGAGGATTGCAAATACAATATGACCTTCTACAGAGTCACTACAATCATTTACAAATGGTCTGCTTGTATTCATTTTGCTCTGAAAAGGTACACAAAAATACCTTTGTAGGCTTACAAAATTTGTACACTTTCTTTTACATAATGAAAGTTATCATCAAGGATGCAGGCTTGTCTGGACACAGTGTTGATTGGAATGAGAACATTGATTATGTTTTTCTTTTTAAACTCATAGATAATACAAAAAAAGAAGTTACCACTTAATTACAATTTTGTCTGTGACCTTCCTTTCATTTTGCAACATACTGTACTGCAATTTTCTCTGTCTTGTAACAGAATTACTCTGGCTGTACCTGCATCTCCGTGCATCCTTCGAAAGACTATGCATATCCAGGCTCATGTGGGACAAACTGCTCTAATTTCTTCATTCCTTTCATGATATTATCAGCCTTAACAGGCTTTGTGGCATCATTCTCTCAGACTCCATCCTTCATGATGGTGTTAAGGTATTCTTTAATAGTTTTTAAACTATTGCAGTCATTACTGAAAGTGGTGCTATTTTGAGAATTGAACTTAACTTTTTTGTATTCTGTTTCTTTCTGTGCTTATAAATATTAAGTTTAAGGTTGCAGAATTATGATATGTACTTAAAAGTACATCATAGCACACGAAGAATATGAAAGAGGAATGATTAGAGAAAAAGATAGGCATGATGAGAGGAGAAAACCTAGTTTAACTCAGTAAAAACAAAACAAGTACAGCATGAAATAAAGAAAGACTGTCTGAAAAGCAATGTGTCATAGTCATGCAAGATCTAGAGAGCTTTTCAGTGTTATTGTACCATGCCAGTCATTTCTCCTACCAATCCCAGTATAGCCCACAAATAACCCACATCTCTAATTGATTGATTGTCTGTAAGGCTGTTGCAACTTAAAACAGTGTAATTATTCCTTTATTCTTGTGCAATGCTGCCAAGTCCTTATCAAAACAGCAAAACATACAGGCTCCTGCATGAAAAGTAAACCTTCTTTTATGACAGAAAAGTAAGAACATTTTGCCAGATCAATTCTCCTACATTAAAGTCAATTTCAGTTCCTTCAAAGAATAGATTTATTTTTTTTATTTTTTTAAGGGAGAAGTTAAATCTCACTTTTAATTAAGAAACTATTATTTGAATTTATTATCTAAAATGTTGTTAATGATGAAATACAAGTATTAATATGCCTTGACTTTAGCAAGGTGAATTGCAAACCTTCTCCTTATTTAAGGCTAATTTTACAAAATTGAATCATAATTCACTCCCATCCCAAGAGATCAACTTCAAGGAGACTTACTTATGCCTATAACTTTTGATAGCTGCTGTTGCTGCCAGTTTTTCTATATATTATGTACAGTAGCATCCTGTAGATACACGATTCCTGTGATTTCAAATCTTGCTCATGTCTACCAATGTGTCATGTCTTGTACAGGACAGTTCCACCAGAAGACAAATCCTTGGCTCTTGGGATTCAGTTTATGCTTTTCAGAGTGCTGGGTGAGTAAGAAAGGAAGAGTTGTTTAAAAAAATGAAATTGCTGCCAAGAACAACTGGTTGTTTTTGATGTCGGTTTTTCATACTGAGGAAATATGATCTGCATGGACAAGTTATGTGGTGCTCTTCATAGGAAGAAAATACAAACTGGTAAACTGTTGCTATTCAACATTCCTTATGGGCAGATCAATAAATCTCCATGATTTTAAGCATGACGGTAAATTTGTTTTTACCATTTAAAAGAGATGTTCACTCAACCTCATTTTTTTAGGGAAAGTGTTTTAGATTATAGAGCAGAGTCTCTACTTTTTGGCTCCCTTGACAAATACTTAGTAGCAAGCAATGACATGTCTGAAGGTTTTGTTTATGAGCTTCATGCTCTGTAACTAGGATAAGCAAAGTTGAACCATGTCACCGACTAGTGTATAGGATAGACACTAGATAGAAAAGATAACTATAAGACAGGTTAGGACATGAGATGGTTTGGAATGGCCCCTACATAAGCTTTAATTTCATTCTTTAGTTTCTGTATGTGTATATATTGTAAATTCCCACCCCAAGAAAATCAATGACTGATTTAGCATGCAGTGAGAGGAAGAAAGCATGTCTTATGCACTTAAAACATGCATGGATCAATTAATCAGTGAATCAGTCTCAGACAGACACTATGTAAACAGTACAGTAACTGGCATTTTTCTGATGAAGTTCATGGTTTTACTGATTTTTTATTCCATCCATAGGACAGCAGGTGGCCTAATTACAGTTAGTATTTTTGAAAGCAAATACCTAAGTACTGTATAATTTCACTGAATAAAAAAATATCTTTAAATATTCCATTTCCTTTAATCATCCAACATGGTAAACAGGGTATTCTCAGTTTTGCTATACTGTTTCTTAAAGAAATAGTACTAACTTATCATCTGTTCCTGAAGCTTGGATGCCTGGTCCTGTTTTGTATGGAAGTGCCATTGACACAACATGTATTCTTTGGGGGAAAAACTGCCAAAAGAAAACTTCTTGCCACTATTATGACTTGGATCTTTTTCGGCACAGGTAAGAGCCTTCACACTGCATGGAAAGTACATGTATACTAAACTCCTAAATGAGCAACTGTGTTGCATAATAGAACAAGTAAATTGTCTTCTTCTGTAGAAAAATATATAGCTATTAATTATTTTTCTCCCTGAAATTTTGTCTTCTAGGTATCTTGGACTTCAGGTATTTTTTGAAATTGGTGCCTTTTTGTGCTTCCTGATGGTGTTTTTGATATTGAGAAACTTAAAATCTCTCAAGGAAGAGAAAGAAAAACAGGCAGAAATGGAGACAAAGGAAAAAAGCCTTGAAGCCATCAAAGCTGTCAAAGAGCCTTTAATGGACAAGTCAAGTGAGAGCAACACACCACAGAAAGTGTGAAAGACAGGATAAGACACCTCTCAAGACCTCTTAAATTGTCTTAATGCTCTAATACAGGAAAGAGAAAACTGATTTTTCTCCTGCATTCCACTTGAAGAGTTCAGAAGAGTTCTTTCCTTGTAGAACCAGCTGAGCTTGATTTGCAGCTGCAAAGGACAAATGACAGATGATTGGTAGGTGAAAGGTGGCAAGAGGACGACATGTATTGAGAAAATGTTCTTAGCAGCCTTACTTTGGGAGTGCCACCTTTAGGCCATTTTCCGTTTTTTTGTTTCTTCAAAAATCTCCTCCTTGGTTGTGTAACAGCAGTGATTTACACACAACTGAAATATACAGTATAAACAAACTGTATGGATGTGCACAGAAACTGAAAATAAAACATATTATATTGCACATGTACATATCTGGAAACAATATAGCTACAGAAGAAAAATACTACTTCTATAAATCATAATTAGATGCTTTTTTTTTTAAAGAAAAGTGATAAAGTGTATGTCTGCTGCTTGCTGGTTTAGGATCCAGCTCTCCCATCACCCTGATTTGGATAAAGCAGTTAGAAAATAGATGGTTGGATATTATAAGTCCATACCCGAGTCCTGCAAAATAATGTGTCAGAGTGTTGATGCTGAGGAAATAAAACAATAATTGTCAGGCATTCTACATGAAAAGTGCATTACAGGGAAGATTATACTGCTGATCTTCAGGTTCAATATGTCCCCCTTTCATCAGGTTAGAAGGGTGATTTAATGTTTGATGTACAGTACAGTATGAGCCAGCTGAAGATGTTCTATTGCATTGGTAACCCTCAAGAATGTCTACACCCATTAATTTGTGTTTCAGAAGTCCAGGTATCAGAAGAACCATCTGTTATCCAAAGCTCCACAGCTTTATTGAATTAAAAACACAGTTCGTTTTCATTGCACTGGATCTCTTTCTTATGTATTTGAAGCAAATCCTTCGCTTAGTAGGGATTTTTTTTATTACGCACATACTCAAATTAAACCTATAAATCTTCTAGATAGTGGTCCTTTAGATGGGGATCTTTTCCTGTAGTGGCTGGATAATCTAAGTAGTCTCCCATATAGGTTTCTCCTCCTCCCACTTTCATGCAGAAATATATTTCAGATAAGTTGTCCATTGGACTAGAATGTTCTATAATCTTTCCAGATCCCCAGTGTGCAATATTCTAAAGAATGCTGTATGTGAAACACATTCTCTTCATTCCTTACGAAACTTCTTCATTAAAGAGGCATTAAAATAGCTTGAAATGTCATTGCTTCCAAAATCTATCCATTGCATTTTTGATGCCTCCCAATATATAATGTCAAAACATTTTTCTATTTTTATAGACACAAACCTTAATTTTTAAAAGTACACTACTAAGCAGTATATATTAAAATTATTAAAGGACTGATTTGTGATTTATGTTTATGATATGTAATAATCAATGTTTTATAATTATTATTTTTTTATTATGGAAATTATTCAGAAACATTTTAATTTCTCATATTTACCAAAGAAAGACTAGGTTTATTAACTCTCTGAGAACACCAGCCTCTTTATCTTGGCTCAGATGTATAAGCTTGCTGTTTTACCAGTTAAAACTGAATAAATCCAGCGTCCAGTGCTTGAAATACAGTGAGCATTTCAGAGTACTACTGTTTGTGCTTTCATCAGTTGTTCTGGGCAGACAAGGGTGCTGTCAGAGTGGGCAAAGTAGAGCAACATTTAGAAATCCCAAAATACAGAGGGGATATGGAATGAGACATTTTTTTTGTGAGTTATTTCATAAAATATATTGCTGAACCACTTTCACATTGTTTCAAATTCCCCATAAAATGCCCCCTGGAAATTGTAGTAGTATGGAGCAGTGGTCAGGGTTTTGGTCTCATCACTGGACGTTTGTGTGTTCATGTCCCAGGTGAGAAAGTGCTGACATACTGTACCCCTGAGCATGGTACGTCATGGTACAAGTAAAATACCCAGCTTTGTACAATAAATGGATGCAAAAGTAAGTTGCTTTAGGTCAAATTGTCAGCTAAATAAGAAATTAAAGGCCAGGCTTTTAGATGATCTAAAGACAACTTTGATTTAGAACATAAACTATTAGATAATAAAGGATTATCTAATAGTTTTATGTTTTAAATAAGAGTTTAAACACAATTACTTTTTTGTAATTTTGACAATTACTACTGAGTACTTTTTAAGAATGGATTTCTGTATAGAGTAATTACTTTGTGACTGAAATCAAGACCTACTGATTTTTATAATATGTGAAATTTTATTTTGAGACTAGAAAGGATTCCATCTGGTTAGCAAACCTTTTTTGCTATAAACAGCTACTGATATTCATGAAACATTAATTCAGGTGTTCATAAATTCCATAAAATGTGAAAAAGTAAGCTTCCGTAGTGTGCTAGGTCTCATAATGTGAAACATAAAACTTTCACTGTAGGCTACAAAATGACCTTTATAACATTTAATTTTTGCTCCCAGAAATGTGTATAATATGTATAAAAAATACTGCAATTTAGTTAGAAATATACTAATTACACATTAAAATGTTGTATTTGTTATTGCCTTTCACATATTCATGTTTATAAGAAAATGTAATACCTATAGCTTTGCACATATTTGTTAAAGATGATCATATCAATGGAAAACTAAATACAGCCTTTAGAAATAAGTCTTAGTATTAAGTCAAATGTCTTCATAACATAATGTATTTTTTCTGCAAAGTATCCCAGATCATCACCACCAGTTCCGTTTTTAATCATAGAAGTGGTTGTATACAGTTTAAAACATTCTACTGCTAGATTTCAGGAAAAATAGTTCACACTAAATTTTAAGTGAAAGTGGAAGTTTAATCAATACTTACTAAACTGTTGTGAAGTGTAAAATGTATTTCTGAGCCATTTTGTGTGTTTTAAACTTAAAGGAAAATTTAAAATAAAATATCATATTCTCCTCATACACCCTATGTATTCCTCTTTCTTTTCCCCCAGTATTGCACCTTCAGTATTAAGTCGGAATATATTCACATGGATTCTAACCCTTTAATTAAAAGACTTAAGTTAAAGTATTGTAAAATACAGAGTAAACATTTTTTGGTTATTTTTTTAACATAATTTTTCAGTGCTACAGTATATACTGTACTACAGACAATTCTAGGACACTTCAAACATTGAAATACAATTGAAGTGGTATGCATTTTGGATGACACCAGCTAAAATAGCCATCTCCTGAACTGTATTTATAGTCCTGTAGATTTTTTCTCATGCATTTTTAACCTGGAAATCTAAATCTATAAAAAAGGATGTGATCTGTTTCCTCAAAAGGTATTCCAAGTTAAACCTCCATGTAAAGTTAATAATAACACTGCTATATTTAAACAGAATTTGATATTATTGAATGAATGAATAATTCAGTGATAAACTGAGGAGGGAAAAGTGCCTTAGAGAAATGGTACATTATGAGGAGCTCCTCAGAGTTTCAGGAGGGTCACAAAGGACAAACTGCACATAAAGAGCAAATCACTAGATGTCTCTGGTGATTTATTTCAATTTTCAGCCTTGTTGACTAAATGGCTCCCTTGCCACCAGACAGCAAAAGGGAAAATTAGTACTACTATGTAGGTAAGCCTCATGGTGCCATTGTGACTGTTAATTTGCTAGTCCCTAGTGAGGCTGGTTTAAGATTTCTTGGGTTAAGCTTGTCCTATAACACTGTTTGTATTCACACCTATTTTCAATGTCTATTTTTTTCTAGTTTGATCCAGATGATCTACAATGGTTCTCCTTACATCCCATGCTTGCTCGTAAATATATAAGGGAAAAAGAGTTTTCTGACACCAGCTCATCAGCACTTTAATCTGTTTACAAATTTAATTGGAATGGGAACAGTAAAGCTCCCTCTGATTAGGGATGGGACCCCTTTGCACTTGCTGTACATATAGTTGTGCTGCTATTGCAGATAGCACTGCTGCAAAAATGATGCAGGCCTAGTCCACTTATAGCAAATATATAAGCATAACCTAGTTTTGCTGTAAAATGATCACATCATTTCAGTGATAAAATCTAGTTGATCATATTGGGAATATTTGTATTTAAGTATATTTGTATTTACTGTAAGGATTTGGCATGGTGCTATTTTCAGAAACAGCTCAAATCACTACTGCTAACTACACACTATCCTTTCATTATGAGGAAGCCATTATTGTGATTTGGTGGAGGTTGTGGCAAATCGGAGCCAATCCTGAAAGTACACTATAGGATACAAGCTGAGAGAATGAGAGTGCATGACTGTTCACCCGAAATCAGTTTGCTGCTGGGCAAAACCCAGCCAGCATGACTTTTAGACATGAGAAAAACCCACAATCTAGAGAGAACATGCAATGTCCGGAAAGACAGACAAACTGTACAGCGCCTCAATTTAATTCAAGATCCTTGAACTGTGAGGCGATGGTGTTAACTACTGTGCTAGTAAATGCGTATATTTAATACAACTCATAATCAGAGACAAAGCTTGAAGAGGGTCTTACAATTGGACATGCACATTATACTGTAATATCTCTTCATAAACTTGCATTTGTGTGATTACTCCATTGGATTGTCAAGAAAGTAGAAAAGAAAATCAAAAATAGCCAGTGGGTTTGCTAGTTTCTCATAGAATATCTTATTTCCAAATCTTTTAGACTTAATATTTTTTCTGCAAAGCCCTATTCCTTCAGGAAAAAAAAAAATACACTATCATGAAAGCAACCAAGATATCTTACATCCGTGGAACTACCATGGTAATTAGAAGAGACCACAGATTGTTCTGTGCACTTCAAAACAGAGTTTACCTTTTCCAAAACACTGTTGTAAACTACGCATGTGAAACTGGGTCAATTTAGAGATTTAGCTGTTACTACTTAGGACAAATAAGACACAGGACAGAAATGATTCATTTGATCCAGATATCTGGTGACTATATTGTCCTTGCCCAATCGAGTTTTTCAAAGTCAGGGCTTACAGTATATGAAGGTTCTGGTTTGTCAAAAAATTGGAATTAAAAAGTAATAAGGAAATTGCTTACAATAATAACATTCATTTTTTTGCTTCCAGTACATACAGTAAGAGGGTAGTCAGTTGGGTTCAGACCACTTTTGGGGGTGATCTAGGTCCCCTGTTTTCAAAACCTGTACTGTACAGGTCATTTTGTAGTGCATTATACTGAGCTCATCTTTATTGGTTTACCTAATGCCATTAATTTCTCTATTACTATGTCCTAGTAGTAAAAAGAAAGAAGACATTTACAGAAGTTTTAAAGGGCAACATTTTATTTTGATGCATCGTCATGTGTTGAGGGCTTTGAAAATAATTTTATTGGGAATATGTGTTTTAAGAAAAACTGCCTCACTGTTATTTTTATGTGGGCTATTGGCACAACAGCCATGATTAATGAACCCTTCAGATATACAAAGTCTGGAAGCTTAAACATTGTGGACAATTGTGCAATCTAATGAGTTTTCTTATAAATTGCTTCACAGAATGAGTCACTGGCAATCTGCACTCACAGATTTACTTTGGTATTTTCTGTATTCATTCAGAATGTTATCTTGCCTAATCTATCATGCTAAATATAAAGAACACAGTTGATTTTTCATTTGCTATTACAGTATGTGAAATTACATTCAATGTTTTCTGAATTAATTAGATATGACATGCTGTAAGGTCAATGTGCTTGCTGTATTTAATGTGACAGCCGACTTTTAGAAGCTATTTTGTAAATTTCTAATATATTGGGATTCATTCTTGAGACCTTCCTAGGAGCATTACCACAGCTTCACAGAAGAGAAATACAATTGTGTTCCTTGTGCTTTTTTATCTCTCTTATTTATCAACTGATTAAGTTTGAAATTAATTTCAATTGGAAA